CCCCCCTCCCCCCCCCCCCCCCCCCCCCATAAAAGCTACTTGGCATAACTTCTACAAGAGAAGCTATTGGAGGTGAATTCCTTTGGGATACAGGTCATGGATCATCTAGTAAGGCAAATGTTAATGCCTGAAAATAGAAAATTATATATTCAGGTCCCTTGTTTCAGTTTTGTCAACTTGCACATCAGTTTGCATTTGTTTAATTGCTTCTTACTAGAAGTCAAGAGAGGTTCTTGTAAGACACAGATGTTAATACTAGAACAGGTTTTATTCCCCTGGAACCTGCCTGTATTGAATTAAATTGTTATATGCCAACTACGTGATCTTTTCAGCCTCTCTTCCCTCAGACACCATTTTTTTTGCCAGCAGGAACTGCTCATTACTCAAGTTTTGTGACCTGAAAACTTGATTCTGCCAGCATTGCAATTCATGACAACCACAGAAGATCAGATTACACTTTTCAGTGCGATCAGTTTTATGGGTTTACTCCAGAGTATGTTGTATTACTGTGAAGGATGTAGAAATTTCAGCGAATTTGCTCTTACAACCTTTGTTTTTTCCTTTGCCCATCTTTATGCTTTTGTTTTAATTTGCTAATATTAGTGGTGTAACATGGGAACTGTGTACAATAGTAGTTGTTAGTTCTTCGCTTTTTTATTTTGCTTTATATGCTTCTAAGAGACCACGTACCACAGGTAGTCTTTTCTAGAAGCAATGTATGTGTATAGAAGTTTTAACATATTTTGAAAGGTACTAAAATATTTATAACTAAAAAAGAATTGAAGACTATATATTTTTATTTATTTGCACACAAGCATTACTTATATAAATCCTGATTCTAGATTACTCATTTACTTTTTTTTGTCTTTTAGAATAAACTCTCTGCCTGGAGAAACAAACCAGATGTTTTGAATATGTGTAATAACTTGGAAAATAATCCCCAAATGAAGTACAAAGAGTTTATGTATTTGAAGTGTTAGCTTATTGCATTCTGTAAAACGGGTTTCTAGAATAAAGCTTTCAGCATAGGCATTCAGGTTATAGCAGAGCCTTTGAGAAACATTGTGATCCAAAGGCTAAGTGAGTACAAATCATGCAGATCTTGTAATTGAAGTATAATGGAATATCTACAGATAAATCTGTCTACAAGGAAAATCTTTTATGCACTTTAAAATGTTTTGGTAACATGGATAATGCTCATGGAAGAGAGGCTGGTAGTAAAAGCATCCTAGTGATTCAGTTGCTGAATAATCTAGTGACTGACTTGCTAAGAACAAAAATGTTAATATGGAACGCAAGTTCTCAAAATCAATTTAAGATTAAATTATATGCATTGCAGCAAGCACTAATAATAGTGGAGACCAAAATGTCAGGATTTGATTAAATGCTTTGTAATAGTATTTTTTAAAAGTAAAATGTCACTTACCAATCAGTTATGATGATTAAAAAATAGCATGTCGTTTGACAACTGCAAAGCACATTGTGCATTTTAAATAAAATGACATTCCACACTTTAATTTTTAGAGAAGAGGCTTCATGTACTCTGTTTAATGGATTACTTTTTACATGGCTGAGAGTGAATGGTTGGCTTCTCACCTTTATTCATAATTCCTAATCCTATGCCTTTCTCAGCAGTTGTTTTATGGGATATAATATAGTATATTAATGGTAATACTTATCTCATTTCCTTGTACTAAGTCTTAGTTAGAGCTGTAATATTAGCATAAGCTTGATCATTAGAGATGTGTTAACAAAAGTATTATTTTGTAGGTAATCTGCAAATATATTATAATATGCTCAATGTTCTGAATAACTAAGGGACATTTTAGCACATTCTAAATAATTTATGTTTTGTGTCCCCCACCCCCAGTCAGCTTTTCTGCATTTTGCTGATGACATACTCCTTGAAAAGCACTGAAACCTATGATGATAAAGTCTTACTTTTAATCTCCCTCCACATCTTCTCCCCAATCATAATGCAGATGAAATTTTAATATTGTAAACTATGTTGCACTATAGAAATATTGAGAATCCTTCCAAAAATATTAGAAACCTGGAAAGGGACAGGCAAGAATTGAAATGTTTTCTGTCTGTCTCTTTAGTAGTGGATGTGACTTCACAAATTAACATGTACACTGGACCATCATGTAGAGGAGCAAGTCTTCATGATATACCACAAAACTAGTAAACTTTTTGAAAGTATGGAAATAGTTCCTTATGTTAAGTTATGTTAAGTTCCTCTTAAAATATATATTCTACTTGAGTCTGTGTAAAAATGGTGCTTTCTTATCAGACCTCCTGGTGGTATGAAATGTGATTATCTGCTAATTTTAGGAACAGAGTTTTTTGCTGCTTTTTATTCATGTTAGTACAGTAAAGCCAATGCATCTGTGAAGAAGAGTTGGCTTCCTTTGCTTCTATTATGAAAGGATATATTAAGTTAAATCGGTAGCATCCCCGCAAGTGTCCAAGAAGCAGTTTGGTGGTACTGTCGTAACTGGGCGACCTAACTGAATATGCAGAATCCCTTTCACTGATGACGATGCTGATGCATGGGGTCTCTCCCTTTTGGGATATGATTCTTGGAGTTCATCATGGTTTAGCATGTTGGACAAAACACATTTGATATTAGGCCGGATTTATACAGAACAGACAATATACCTGTTTGTATATGTTAGGTTTCAAGACCCATTTTAAAATCAAAACAAATTAAAAAAACCCCAAACCCTAAAGGCAAGGTTGGTTTGTTTTCGGAGGCTTTTGTTTGGGATGGGGCGGGGGGAAGGGGAGGGGAGTTGGCAATATCTTTTTTTGGAAAAACTGTATATCAAAAGGAGATGTTAACACAAAGCATCCCTTTCCTGGGTCACTGCAGCTACAACACTCCAATCTTACCCAAGCCCTAGGAAACTCCCGAGAAACCTGAATTGAGTCTTTCAACAGTGGTAGGGATTCTGCAGATTAAATTAAATCTCCAGTTATGACTGTGCAACCATACTGTTTCCTGGAGGTTGCAGGGATGCTACCTATTTAATTTAGTATATACTTTAAAAGCAGAAAGAAAAGGAACTGTCTCTGTTCCTCAGATATATTTACGGTAGACTACTTAAGATTTTTCTTGAATGTGATCTTTGATTTGAAAAAGGGTCAAACTCAAAGGAGAAACTAGTTGGCTATAATGAAAACATTTATTCTTGTTTTATTTTTCAAGTCTGCCTTTGCATTTCCTAAAGCCACAGAAGATATTTATTTTTATATATAGTGTTTCCTTACAGAGTTTGTCTTGCAGAATTGGGTTCAGACTGCTATACTTGCTTTGCTTTGTAGGTGACACATCACTTACTGCATACATAGTATTTCATAATCCTTTGAATTTATACTGGAACAAAAACTGGTAGACTCTGCTGCACTTTGATTTTCTTTTAATGTTGAGTTGATTGGAGGATAGTAATAAATCTTCCCGTACTTGGCACTCTCTTTTTTTTTTCCTGTTATCATTCAAATTGTTGAATTTATATAAAGTATTCTCTATTACATGCATTAAATTTTTACCGGGGTAAATCGTTAGGTCTCCTTGTGTAGTTTGAAGGTCAGCACTTAAAGCTATTTTTTTCTTTCCTCACCCCAAAGCTATTTGATGTATGTACATCAGAGACTGCAACTGGAAATAACCATTTGAAACAACATTTGCTGTTATAATGCTTTATTTTGTCCACTTGTGCATCAACCATGTGATTACTAATAAATCTTCTAATCGACTAAGTATTGGTAAGGTGTTATTGACCTTCCCCCAGTCTGCTACAGGTAGGGACCTTGATTAAAAAAAGTTTAAGCATGGTTGAATCTGATCAAGCTCAGGTACTATCATCAGTTGACAGTAACATGTATTTTAAAGATATAGTAAAAGTCTGTAGCAACTATGTTCGCACTCATCAGTCCTACGGTCTCATTGCATTTTTATGAAAATTGCCTTAATATTTGAACAGTTAAAGCTGGACACCAAGATTTTGCCTTTATCCCCTACATAGGAGAGACTTGCCATGGCCATCTGTACTGATAATTTCCAAAGTATATTATAGATGTACTCCAGATTTTGTAGTAACTACCAGTTCATGACTGAATTACATTCAAGGTGCTAGTTGGTGTCTATAAAGTCCTGAATAGTGAAAACCTCAATTAGCTGAAACTTCAACATGTTTAGCATAGGCTCTTCAGTAGTCTGTTTGGCACCATGTACATCACAAAACACAATCTCGGTGGTCTACCTGAGGTTACTTGCATGTACCCAAAAACTAGATCATTTTAGGAGTGCATCCTTTGTCACAGTGTTATACTAACTAATGTAATTTTGATATTTTATTTTACTAGCTAATTTTGGTTCTGGTTACTGAGGGGAAAATACATGATGAATGCTGTTTGAAGTATGCCTAGACACTAAGGCTGCAGCATATCCTTGCAAACCCCACAAATCACTGGGGGCCAACCTTTTTTCTCAAGTATGCTATAAGGTAATCCTTGTACCCTCTCCAAGTGTCACTCTGATCCTTTTTCCCTGTTTCAGCTGCCATTCTGCTTTCTGCTCCCTGCCCTGTGTTCTCTGCCTGATCTGTTGCTCTACTTTCTGTTTCTTTCCCTGTGCTCCCTACCATACCTGCCACTTTGCTCCCTCACTAGTCTTGTCACGTGCCACACAGGTTGGTGATTAATTCTTTTGAAAAACAGGACTGGCTGAAAGAATGATTTGTTTTGGAAAGTATTGACCTCTGTAATTAAACCAAAAACTTTCCTTTGGGCCACGAGAGCTTGCCCAAGTTTACAATAGTTTGAGTTTAAAATGAAAATGTCCTGTAATTTTTGTGCTGTCCTTGTTTTGTTTTGTTTTGTTTTTTTAATACATAGCACCAGAGTACAAGTGATCAGCATCATTTTAACTGAGAAGCAGATTGGAGTGATAAAATCAAGGTAAATTGTAGAGCTGTGTGAAGCTTTGGTAGCCAACTGGAATAGGAGGAGATTTGGCCTGATTCAGGGACTGAATCTTGGAATCCAGATTGAATCAGGAGACCAATTAAAAGCTCCGAATTCTTTCGGAAAAGATTCGGCAATTCAGTCATAAAGTAAACAGGCAGCTGACACAGTTCCTTCCAGCTGGTAAATCTGTTGGGGTTGGGC